GGAAAGGTAATTTTAAATTCTTTGCAGTTAATTAAAAATATAGAGGGTGTCCCAAATAAAAAATCAATTTTTCTGTTGATAACTCTTAAATTATTAATTTAAAAAAAAATATACTTAAACCATTAAATTCTACGTAAAAAGGTGCTTTGGAAATGTTTTCATAGAAATACAAAATTTTTCATAGCAAAAAAATTACAGCGATTTGTTAAAAATGCACATTTTTGAAAAACACCCCGTAATTCCGAAACGGTAACAGATATCGATGTGTGGTTTTCACCATCATGTTTTTGATGAAAATTGAGCTCCAGACACCAATATTAGTTTTCGTCTATCTCTTATAGAAAAGGGTGTTTCCATTTAAAAGCGTCGAATTTGGCCCACCCTGTACAAGGGTGTTTATGAACATGATTACAACAACGAGTGTGAACGATTAGAACGACTAATCACACGGGTGTTGTAATCATGTTTAAACACACTTGTCTTGTACAACGTTTTATCTACAACCGAAAAATAAGAAAATGCTGTTTTAATTTTCGTTTATTAGTCGCCCACCTTTAACACCTTTAACTATGACATTTGTCACATTTATGCTGAAAAGTCAGTTTGCCCTGTCAAGTAAACGCGAGCACTTTTTGCCCAGAAAAATCATTTTAAAAATTACGATGAGCGATTCCGAAAGTCTCCCTTCAGATGTAGAACTTGCCGCAGTACGTGCCACGGAATCATTATTGCCGAAAAAGTTAATATATTTAGATGTTCGTAGTTGTTAGCCGACCGTACCAATAGGTATGGTAGGCTATTAGAATCGGCAAAAAAAAGTTTTTTTTAATTTCACTCAAAATAAGTTATTTGGGTCATAAATGACCTAAATACAAAATATTTTCGTGGTGTCTGTCTGTCCGTCCGTCTGTCCGTCTGTAACACGATAAGTCAAAAACCGCTAAACCGATTTTAACCAAATTTGGCACAAAAAAACTGTAGCACCAGAGAATCTGGCCATTAGATTTTGGTGGGGGTGGGGGATTTGTAAGGGGGTATAGGAGGGGGTTAAAAATTTTAAAAAATTGTAACTCCAAAATTACAGTAGCTAGCGAAACGCGGTTTTCAATGGGTATGTAATTATATGTAATTTATGTATAGGCGGCTATACGTGCCTCCCGGCGCCAATTTTTTTTCATTATTATAGCAACTAGCAGTGGCGACTCGTGGCAAAAATAAGTAGGGAAGCAATAATAGAAAAAAATACACCCCCCCTGTCACTTTCGTTAAAAAATCCTAAAACGTTATGCATCTAAGAGGACAAAAAAACTTTTCAAACATTTTAATGGGGACCAAACAGCACAAAATTTGAATGATTTTAAAAAAGAAATGACTCGGATCTGGTGTTTCAAAAAATGTATACTAATCACGCGTCTAATCCTATTTTTTGTTCTTAGTGTGATGCACTATTTTCTGCTGCCTACAGTAATAAAATAATCCAGAATACAAAGGTATTTTGTAAATTAAAAAATGTACTTACCAAAACAAACTTTCTATTTCTTATATAACAGGTCGATTCTTCGGGATTTTAAACTTGCAAACCGGTCGATTATATCTTCATAGAAGGGTTTAATTAATTTGAGTAAGTCTTTTAAAAGTTCTTTTTCAATTGAAATTGTGGCCAAGTTATTAAGTCTTTCTTCAGTGATTGTATGTCGCAAATAGGTTTTAATTCTATATTTAAACATGAAAAACTTCATTCAACGGAAACGGTGGTGGAGGGAATAGTCACTATTAAACAAAATGATTTGTATGACTCTTTAAAAACTTCGCTATTACTATACCGAAAAACAGTAAAAACACGAAAGACAAAGGTTAGGCTTGGTTACGTCCGGAAAAGCACATAGGAACCAAGTTTTGCCGATGCTTCCAGCCCGTAATACACTAGACAAAATTTCAGGCAAATTACACAGGCGAGACATGTTTGGTTGCCTATCTTTGGGCTTTATTTATTGTCGAACGGAATCATATTGCGTCATTGTAAAATTTGCTGCCGTTTGATCGTGGCGCATGGCGTCTCGTTCGGCACGTGTTCGGCTAGAAACTTATGAAAACCAAATCGGCGTGTTCAGTTTTGGCTAAGTACGTTTAGGTTAAAGTGATATGATAACTCGGATTCCCCAAAAATTAAGTGATGGAAGAGTAAAAAGTAAAAATTGGTATATTTTACATTTTATTTTTATTAAAAATAATTGTATTACTTTTATCTGAATTATTTTAGAGGAAGCAATGCTTCCCTTGCTTCCGCTGACGAGCCGCCACTGGCAACTAGTTGTGTTATAGATTCATAACACCACTAGTTGTGTTATGAATCTCATAACGTAACTGAAATACTAAAAAAATAGTGATGTAAAAACGTTATAACTAAACGGTTGTAGATAAAAAAAATATATATGCATTTACATATCGAAAAATATTGGTCAAGTGCGAGTCGGACTCGCGCACGAAGGGTTCCTTACCATTCATTATCTATACGACATTAGACATTATATTAGGTATTATAAACTTTTTTTCCGATTTACCTGAAATTTTGAATGCGCGTATAAGTAATTTAAAATAAAATGAAGAAACGCATTACTAAAAGTTGTATTAATCAATAATAAATATGTAAAAATTAAAAAAGGCGATTAAAAAAAGTCGCCTTGACTAGGATTCGAACCTGCCTTACTATGGCTCCAACGTCATAGCAGCGTAAAATCCTAACGCTTTAACCACGCGGTCACCGAGGACTTGAAAGATTCTATGGAAAATTCTTACTTAAAAGATAATGTTTAGTGAAAGTACTTTTTTATTTATAAACATTTATTTAATTCTGTTTTTAGTATTTGTTCTTATAACGGCAACATAGATACATTATCTTTAAAAATTTTAACTGTCTAGCTATAACGGTTCATAAGATAGACCTTTGTGACAGACGGACGGACGGACGGACGGACAGCGAAGTCTTAGTAATAGGGTTCCCGTTTTTAGCCTTTGGGTACGGAACCCTAAAATACATTTAACAAATTAAAATATAAAACAATTATGATCCAAATGACCTGAAGATCAAATCAAAGTTAATTTAAATCAAAAATCAGAGCAATGATTGCCGATATAATTTCTATTAAGTTTTTGTCGCGTCTCAATTATTTGTTCACATATTTTTGCTCTGTACTAAATTTAAATAATTACAAAATTTGTTGTCCACTAAATACAAGCCGAACTAATCATTTATAACATATTTAAACATGAGTATTCCAAATTACCTTCCTCTACGTTGCGAAGCGTTTTCTGGCTCTCCTGGAAAATTACCAAAACAGCGATTATCATGTCTTTACCCTGGACACTCTCAATGCAAATATAGAATTACACACACCGTTAGCAGCGGTATCCAGATGATCGACCGATCCGACAACAGCGCTCGATTCGGATCCGAACTCTTCTAATATCCGGATGGATTGGCCCGTTCCCCGTCTCGTTCTACTCCATTAGCGACAGAGGAGAGCGCGACCAGGTCTCTCGCTCGTAAATCGTAAACATCCCCGCGGTTCCCTCCCCCCTCTTTCCCCGGCGCGCCACCGTTTGCCCTTCTTTTACCCCCTGTTAGCGCCTGTGTGTCCCCCCCGCACGCTACCCCCCTTAGTTGGCTTTGGTGATGCAATGCGCGAATTAATAGCGGCATTTTTGTCTGGACCTCGTGACAAGGCGGGGACAAGAAAGAGTTAATTTCTGGAAAATGATGAACAGTTTCTTCAGAACTCTATGTATACCGTGTGGTCTATCGGATCACGGGATATAGGAAATTCCGTGTAAATTTGAAAAAGTTAAATATTCTGTTCCCAGATGATTTTATGCAAAAGTTGCATAAGACTTTTTTGAAAACGCGTTGAAGTTGTACTTTCACCTAGAATTTCGTTTTATTCAGAATAGGCATATAAATTTTAAATGTCTATCTAGAAAAAGCTACAATTAAAATACCAGCAATAGTTATTTTTTATACAAAATGGTATTTTATCGTCGACCGAATAGATTAATTCACGAGCGATGAAATCGCTCGTGAATTAATTTCGGGAGACGATAATGCAATTTTATCATCGTGAATAAAACAATATTTTTTTCCATAGTGAGTTACGTTTTAAAAAATATTCAGAAATTATTATTTCAAGGAATTTATTACGAGTAGAAAAAATATTTTGCTGGGTTGACGTTGGTTTCTACACAGAGAGAAATAAATTATTCGTGTGTATTAAATCAGTTTATTTAATTTTCTGAAAAATAATTTAATTCAAAACAGAAAATATGAATTCGAATAAGAAAAGCATATTTGCTATAAAATTAATTATTTTTTCTACTTAATTAATGTAACTAAATTATTTAATTGAAAAATGTATTGTAACAGCAATCAAATTATTGTTTATTCAACTAAAACTTTGCTAAGTTTATAAAAACCCAAAGAATTAAACATTTTTACCAAAATTTTATTCCGCCAATTAAATTACATTTTTCATAATAATGAAAAGAAAAATATTAATAATTATAATTTTGTTGGAAGAATAAAATTAATTATGTAATTATAGAAATTAAAGTTTACTTATGGCAATTAAATCATGCCTCCTAGAATTAAAATATTACTGGCGTTCGTCTATTTCTTGGTAGTCCGTGAATTGTAGAACGAATTGGCCATTTTAAGAGAAGCAGGAGTACTTCCTAAAATGGAATCCAGAGCCGAAACAGATAGTTGCGATGATGAAATTTGATGAGTACTTCAGGAGAAGGTTAGGACTATTCTGTAAAAACTATCACACGTTATATATTCATTTTTTTTAGATCAAATATCTGAAGTAGCTCTAAGTTCCCAAAATTTGGCTCGAACATCATTCCGAGCCGTTTGAGAACGTTCTCACTCACTGCATCGAAACCAATAGTTTCAGACGTACTCAGTTGGCCACTTCGGCCTTTCAGACGGTGTCCAGTATTTTAATAACGAATGACCTATTTTGAAGTATCATTTTGGATATATCCTAGTAAGCCCTTTTTGTTATTATTATTATTATTACTTTATTACCACTGTGATTTTCTTTCTAATACCAAACGCCTTAATTTTCAGATTGAAAAAGGTTTTGAGATAGAATATCCGAATATCCAGAAAAAGAAAATAATCTTTTTACGAAATTCTCTGCTCTGTTTGACGCAGCTTTGGAGCTGAAGAAAAAGACTTGTGTCAACACGGACAATGAGTTTTTAGTTGACCTGTTACAAGGCGAATTATCACAAGGTATGTTAAATTTCAAAAGTATATAAATATGCGCTAACCCAGATGGACTTAATCTTTTTTCAAATTTCAGATTCACGAACCCTTATTCAGACTTATCTATTATGTTCGTTCATTTAGTCAATGAAGTTAAAAAAGTGGAAACCCAGTGTTGCTGAATCAAGAGAATCGATTATACTTCAAGTCAAGTGCCCTACAGCATGTTGAACAAATTTTTACAATAATTAAATCTGAATTCTGCGTATAAAATTATTGTTTTTACGCAAATAAATAATAATTTTAGTTACAAAACTAGTATGCTTCTCGTAATTAAAGTTTACTGTTACGGATAAAATATATATTTTTTGGGAAAATTGGGAATAATATATACCTTTCTATTCTAAATTACAATTTACTTATCACAATTAAATCAAGATATTCTTGTTGACAATCATTAATTATAGATATCATAATATAATACTGAAACAAATAAACTATTATTAAGAGAATTAAATCATGTTTTTTTCTGTATTGTAAAATATTACTTATAGCAAATATGATTTTCTTTAACCAATTAAATTTACCAATTAAATAATTGAATTCCTTCAATTACATATTTAATTGCCCGACACGAATTAAATTATTTAATTATCAGAAATATCTCCCACTTATATAAATTAAATCTTTCTCTCTGTGTATGTAATTTGACAAATAAATAAAGCTGTCTCTTTAGTTGTCAGTTTTGAGTCAATATTTTTTTTAATTTTCTTTCGTGTCGATTGCTGATTGAATTGAAACCAGAAATGGCTCAAAACGAAATAAGTAAATTTACCAACAGATATTCAGGCTGAGGCGACAAACTCCATATCCAAACTACTTCCATTTAAATCCCGAATAACTTATAAAAAGGAATACAAAAAGTTTCATAAATGGAAACAATTAAAAAACGTGCAAGAAGAAATAAAGTTTTTAACCTATCCTCGCTGTTAAAGTATCATTTAATCTACCTTTGCGGTTAAAGTACTATTTTTGATAGATATAAGACAATTTTAACAGTTGCTATGGAAAAAAGGAAAATTATTAAGTGTAGCCGTTAGGGGCTAAAAACATAACGAAAACCCTAACTCAAACTCAATTACAGGAACGGATTTTCATTTTGTTTTTCCATGCCTCTCGGCATTTCATATTCCGGTCGCATCCGAACCAACAACAACGACCGTGGGGGAATCCCCCCCGAGCGACACAAAACCAATAAAAGCAGACAAGACGCGCCCCGGCTTAAACAAACGAATTAAACGAGAAAAATCAGGGGTAACGTCTTCATATTCGTTCCCCGATCCATAATGCATGACGCGTTTTCTCGGGCCGAAGGTTTCTGCGAAACGTGGATAGCGTCTGCTGTGGGAGATGCGTGAAATGATTGTCTTCAGGCGGGGATGCAGGAAAAAATGAATCTGCCGTTAGCATTTTATCCTAAAATTGAGAGAAATATTCGTTTAAAAGAGATTTAATTCAGAGAAATTGATATTTAAACAGGGGCGGCTAGTAGAAATGGAAGATGGTGAGGCACATTAGAAGATAATTTTTATTAGTATGTATATAGGGTATAAAATATTTTCTTTAAAATTGCAATCGCATTACCATTTTTCTGTACAGAATTTGGTTCAGCATAAAATTCAGCATACATCACAGTACTAATTTAAACACATACAGGTGTACTAGATCTAAAAAAAACATGTTAGGTTAATACGACTAGAGACCCAAATAATTGATGTAAAAAAATGTCATCCAAAAAATCAAATCACTCAAGTGACAATGGGCAGGATGCCTGGCAAGAAGGAGTGACAACAGGACAACAAAAATTACAATACAACGTAGTGTAATGTTTGTGGCCCTTCGTGGGTACAGCATAGTACCCACGAAGCATTAAGAAACCTACAAGAAAACCAAAACTAATATGGTACCGTCATATTGGGAAATTACCAGGTATAAAGGTTAATTCTCACTATAACTTCCGTATCAGCTACCTTCCAGGTAGACAATGTAGGTAGACAATGTAGGTAGACAATGCACACTATTCGTTCCGTTTCCCTTCCGTTCCATATCCTTTCCTTCCATACATTTTTTTGGCGGACGAACTGAAGCGCATCGGAAACAGCGTTGTCAAGTTCTTACATTTGTACCAGCTCTGTTAACATTTTGCTGATATTTATTTATTCTTTCACCTCTTAATTAAATCTATTACCTCTTTCAAAGGATACAAATTTTTAAAATAAAACTTTCGTAATGATATAAATTGTACAATAAAAAGTATGGAACTGAAGGAATGGATATGGAATGGAAACGGAAGGTATAGTGAGGAGAATCAACCTTAACTTGGAAAGCGTCTGACGTTGGACATGCGTGAGATTTGATGTTATAGGCATTTAAATTAAAAATTAACAGAATAATTGTTTAAAAGTTATCCCATCATTTATATACAGGATATGTCTTGAATAAGTGCATATATTTTTAGGGTTCTTTCAGTAATCTTTATTTCATAGCCATCGCTGATGCCGTTTTTTTTCATCATATTGTATATTTTGACTCCCTTTACAGAAAAAACCTCATAGACGTGTTTACGTGTTTTTACACGTCTATGATGTTTCTTTTTGCAAATTTTATATTTTTACATTTGGAATATTATGGATATTTTTTAAATTTTAGTTGGTAATAATACATAATTTCTTGATCATATGGCAACATTAAGTATAGTAGGTTAAATATACCAGAAAGTAAAACCGCGAAAGGATCCAGTTATATACAAAAAATATATATATATATATATATTTTTATATAAAAATATATATATATATTTTTAAATTTTCACAGTATAGTAACTTGGTTATTTTGGACTTATTTGATTTTTTTGGTAAAAACAGCAAAAAGGAAATATGTTTATTTTACTAAAATCTGCCAGCCCTCAAAAAATTTGCATTTATTTAAGACTCACCCTTTATATACAGACTTGCAGACGGGGTTCATGGAAGTCGCAGGTCAACGCTGTCCAAAGATGCGTACAACTTAGAAAAAAACTATCAAAGACAAGAAATATCTATTTTATTCGATGTTAAAAAAATATTAAAAGCATTATCAACTCAGTAACCACCAATTCGAAGTTGGAAAAAGATGCCTAGAGAAGCTAACAAATTAGGCTTAAACATTAAAAGCCTCCTACTCTGGGTTCTAGCCTACAAGGGAGGAGGTAGAAGGTAATGTAAAAGGAAACAATCTAGGGTAGAAAAGGACAGAACACTCGACTAGCTGGACCAGAACTGTTCTGATTCCCAAGTGGAAATCAATTTAAAGCGAAACTGAAGAACCTAGAAAACTTTATCCGCATGGGAATCCTCCAACGGTCTATCACACTCGAAGAAATTTCTCAGAACTTACAACCGAGAAAAATCAAAGCTTTTTCTTAATTTAAGTACGAACAATCATCGGATTATCACGGGGAAAACAACAGGACACTGTTTCCTCAATGAACACCTCAATCGAGTAAAGCTAAAAAACACCGACAAATATAAATTCTGTGGGGGAAACGTGAAATGACCTTTGGAACAACTAATATCTAAGATGGAGAACTAATCTCTGTAAAGCCGTCTCAGATACTGGCTTATGTCAAAGCTGTGAGACTGTATGATGAGTTATAACTCAAAATAGATCTGGAAGGTCGCGGTCTAAACATTCATTCTAAGGAGATATTTGCTTTTGAAGAAGGCAGTAATGAAAAAGTAAAGATTTCAGTTAACGTCTCCTTTTTGCTGCCAGGGCTAATCTAGACGGGGCCTACATTGTTTACGCGGAAACCGAACCGCGGTCTTCGGCCATATCATGGTCAATGGCCTAACGACTTGGCAAGTGTCTAAATCGACTCTTACTCACGAGATATCCGATCTCATCCGGCCTCGAACCGGCGTTAATGAGCAGTGTGTGTCAATAGATTTTACACTTTTGTCTTTTTTTGGACAACGGCACGATACAGACTTTCGAACCGGTCACCCGTCCATCCACTAGAATCGCATTACTAAGGCAGTCATGATTTACAGCAATTTTAGCATTAAACGCATGCCTTTGCTTTTGGTCTAGCTTACTTTTTTCTAATGTTACTGTTGTTGATAATTAAACAACTCTAGAAAAGAAAACTCGTATTTTATATTTTTTTTATAATTTTTTCACACATTCATTTACTTGCTGTATAAAATTCAGACTATTTTCAACGGCCAATCGAGCTCCTGCTTACCTGCTGAGGCATCCTGTAATCGGAAGCACCATCTAGAAGGCCGGCCGGTCCTTAATGGACCGAAGGTTGCCGAGACCGATCCGAAGAACCCCGAGCTATCAGGGCACTACGAGAAGGAGCGTGGCGAGAAAACGGTGCAGACACCAAACTTGATTTAAGCAATTTACAATTTACTATCTGCACCGATCAATAAAAAAAGCAAATTCTAGATGATTTAAGCCTTAGAAAACCTTCATATTCCTTCAACTTGACAAAAAGTTCCAGATCTTGTAAAAAATCACCAAAATTTCGTGTATTTTACTTATTTTAAAATTAGGAGAAAATTTTTAAAAACTCATTTCTGCTAATTTTTGGACACAGATGTATTTAAATCATTTTTTTATTAAAAAAATAAAACGATCAAAAATGCTGTAATAGATACTGGACAGCAATATTATAGAGTACGATTCAAAAAATTCATTGCTTACAATGACTGCTTCAACCGGCAATAATTAATTGTGCAAGAGACACCATGATCAGCTGACTCATTAGAAATGGCCTACCTATTTTTTTTTCAACATCAAGAACTTTTGTTCTGTTTAATTATGTTATGCGTGTAATAAGACGTGTTAGAAGATAAAAATGTATCTATTAATTTTTATTAAATGTTATCTTTGGAATTGCGAACTTTTTGACAGCAACACTGCTTTAAACTGAGGTATACTTAATTAAACATCGTTAAAGTGAAAAAATAGATGTAGGGAATACAATAAATACTCTTAACAGATATTTTAACAGTTTTTATTTGCTTTTTCAAACTGCCAGAAACGTTCATATCGTCTTTTTTTTAATAAAAATCCTTTAGCCTTTCAAGCG